CAAGGAGTGCTATCAGCAGCACCCCGCAAGTTCTGCTAGGTTCCCGTGAATGGTGCGCTCATGTCGCAGTGGCGGGAATTCATGGTGACTTTTGAGTCGACTCAAAAGTCATAGGTTCCCGTTAATGGTGCGCTCATATCGCAGTGACTTGGATTCATGGTGACTTCTGAGTCGACTCAAAAGTCATAGGTTCCCGTGAATGGTGCGCTCATGTCGCAGGGGCAAGAACTCATGGGCCAGAAACCGGTGCAGGAGAAGCAAGTGGGGTACAGAGCTGATCGGAAGATGGGGCAAGGATGAATAGAGGTGGGAAGGGGAGAGCAAGGAAAATTGCATGGGTGAAGGCAGGGCGCTGCCAGGGCGCCGCCACCATAGGGGCGGAAATCTGTAGGCAAAACGCTAGGATGGGAGCAACAGGGACGGAGCTTGGGGGGGGGGGGGGGGGGGGGTGGGGATGGTCGGGGAAGAGGGGGACCGGGAGGGAGAGGGTATGGGAAGAGGAGGGACAGAGCGGCGGTGAGCAGAGCGGCGCCACCTTAGTGGCAGGCAGGAATCCGTGGGGTAAGCAATGGGGCAGACGTTGGCGTGGGAGAAGCAGGTGCAGTTCTTGGGGGGTTGGGGGAAGGCGGGATGGGAAGGAGGGGAGAGGGAGAGGGTATGGGGAAGGGAAGATGGGATGGTGCCTTGGTGAACAGTGTGTGTGTACTGTGAAGGGCCGAACCCGTGGGCCAAAAAATTGTGTAAGAGAAGGATTTGCAGAGCTGGTGGGGAGGCGGAAAAGAGGAAAAATCAGGAAAAGCAGCAGTGGCTGATGTGTGGGATGTGGAGACCGTGGTCGTGCTCTAAGGGCGCGAATCTGTAGGCCAAAAGTTTGTGTAAGAGAAAGATTTTGTAGAGCTGGTGGGAGGGGGAGGAGAGGGGAAGGGAGGAGAAGAGGCAGTGGCTTATGAGAGAGATGTGGGAGACCGTGGTAGTAGTGCTGTGAAGGCGCCAACTTGTTGGCCGGACGCCAGAATATGAGAAGAAGGTGCAGAGCTGGGGGGAAGGGTAAGGAAAGGAGGGTTCAATGCGTTGATGAGGTGGATGCCGGGAGCATGGCTAAAGGAAACAGTGCCGTAGGGGCGGGAATCTGCATAGGAGAAGCAGGTGAGGTTCGTGGGGAGGAGTTGGAGGGGCGAATGGGGTGGGGGGGAGGGGGTGGGATGGGGTAAGGTGCAAATGGAAAAGGGGAGAGGGAGGGGTAGTGCCTTTGTGAGTCATGTGTTTCTGCGGTAGGGGCAGATGTCAGGGGGTTACAAGTTGGTGTGGAATGCACAAATGCGAAGTTGAATGAATGGGTTGGGGGGGTTACGCGAATGGGGGCTAGGTGGGAAGAGGGAATCCGGGATTGGGAGAAGAGGGAAGGTAATAAAGGGAAGATGGGGGAAAGAGGAGTCTCTCCTTGGCTGCAACCACATTCTCAACTCACCTGGCCCGCCCAACACCTCCCTCCACTCACTCTCACTACCACTCTGCACCCACTCCCAGCGACTACTCACAGAGTCTCCTCAACTCTCTCTCGCATCCATCTGTACCACTGGCTACTGGACCCAACCCAACACCGCCTACGAGTGACTCAACACATTCCTACACGCACACATCTCCCTCCACCCTACCCTCCCCTTCCCCCCCCCCCCCCTTTCCTCCCCCCCGCCCCGCACCGACTCTCACTTTAGCACCATCCAGCTGGTCAACCGCCCCCTGGTCCCTTCCGTTGCAACCATCGCTAACACCACACGCATGCTCTGCCCACCCCATTCAGCAGCAGCATCCCCCTTCACCCCCCCTTCACCCCGCTTCAACCCCCTTCAATCCCCATTCAGTGCTCCCTCGAGTGATTTTCACACACACCCCTAACCCATAGCCGATCCCACTCACACACATACCCACCAGTGCAAGTCCCTCCGAAGCCACACGAGCAGTAGGCAGGCTGAAGTGGCACTTGTGGGCGGCCGTGTGAAGCTCGGACCTGAATCTGCTTTCCCATGTGGGCTTCAACTCTCTGAACCTGAGGGAGGTGCAAGTAGAGAAGCGGAGCATGCAGGGAGAAAGTGGTGGCGGGGGGAGTTAGAGCGGTAGGAATGCTGAAATGGCATGTGTGAAGGAGCTCGGACCTGGATCACACTTTCCCATGTGGGCTTCAACTCTCTGAACCTGAGAGGAGGGGCAAGTAGAGAAGCGGGAATTGAGGAGAACATGCGGGGAGAAAGTGGTGGAGAGGGGAGTTGGAGTGGCAGGAATGCTGAAACGGCATGTGTGAAGGCATGAGAAGCTCGAAACCTAGAGCGCACTTCCCCATGTGGGCCTCGAATATCTGGACCTGTGGGGAGGTGGAAGAAGAGAGGCGGGAATTGAGGAGAAGATGCGGGAGAAAATGAAAGAAGAGGGTGGGGAGGAGGAGGGACAGGGAAAGGGTCAGAGGCAGGATGAGAGAGAGGAGGTGGGGACGGGAAAGGGCAGGAAGCCATTAGGTGCGCGGCACAAGTCATGTCAACAGGCGTCACGCGGATGGCATTCATGACTAGGCAACAGGCTGTGCCACGTGGCACTATACGATAACCTTATCTTCCTGAATATTGTCCGATCTGTCTCGTATCATCATCTTGCAAACTTCTGCTTCCTGCATCATGCCATCATGTACCATGAAGGCCATCTGTCATGACTGGGATAGACAGCCGTCATCGAAGCAAAATGCGGGGAATAGTGAAGCACAGGAAGCTGCAGCAGCGTACCAACCATCAGCGTTGTTGCGTCATTGCAACGCAACGAATCTCGGACTCACCGTCTCTAAAAGCACCCAACGCATGCCCGCCACGGGCCCACGGCATCTCGGCACCTCAGAGGAGAAATGCCACAACGCAAAGCTATGAACAGCCTGTGAATGCAGCCGAACGGCAGCATATTCATCATCCGACCGACGCGACAGGCGATTCGCCGCAACAGGCAACAGCCTTCGTCAAGAGAAGGCCTGCGACCGATGACATTTGGTCGGTGAACGAAATAGTACAGGCGGGAATCCCATCGGTGAAACTGCGGATCCCCGTTCACAGGGATTATCCCAACCGCTGCAAGGTGAATTTCTAACCCCGCAGCAGCAGCAGCAGCAGCAGCAGCAGCAGCGCTGACTCAAGGCACCGTCGAGAACGAGAAGCTGAAAGAGGGAGACTGAGGCGTGTGAGGAAAAAAAAGCGGGATTCGGAATTCGGGAATCGGGACAACTCTGCCTGGCTGCGAAAGCTGTGCGCGGCCCGTCGCATCGCTGCGCGGCGACATCGATTTACGCTGCTCGGGGGTAATCAAGCCGGCAGCTTACGAGCCGCTACGTGTGGCTGATGCGCGGCGCCACAGAAACCCATCGATGACGATGACGTTCTCTTCGACATTAAAAAGGAAGACAAGACTCGACGTTAAAGCCCGATTCTATAATGGCAAACGTTCAACTTCAAGATTCTTGAACTTGTTTTCGTCAAGAACAGGGTAACCAGGTTCAGAAAGCTGAGCTCTCGCTACCCACCGGGAAGGGAGTTGGTGGGCCAGAAGGTGATTGGCCAAATGCCCCACAGCAAAAACACGGACGAGCCTCGCCAGAAACAAACAAAGGCAAGTATCACTGTTCACACTTTCAGAACTTGAAACTCGACATTACCTTTCTAGACTCGTAGCATAGAAGGCTCCATAGCCCATATTCTCGTCAATAGTCAGCATAGTTGCGCCCATCTGCTTGCCGTATGCTAAGACTTTTGTAGCACATAAAGACGAAACTTCCCGGCGACTTTTTCGCGCATAACACATCCGATCTCGTACATTGCTTGGAAGGCATGACCCTCAGATTGATCGCCACTGTAACATCCGTACCCAACCCCAGCTGGTCTCGATACGTCGAACCAGCTGAGGGAGAAATGTGGGGAAATCTGGTTGGTTGGGAAAGCGAGACTTACGGGCAATTCAGGATTGATTGGGAAACCAACCAATCGAAATTGTTGCTGAGTCAAACTTACGCAATTGGTTTGAGCTTGTTCAAACATAACCCACGTAAGTTCACCTCATCACTAATTCAACCAATCAGATCACAGCCCCAAGAGTGAGTCGACAATGTTTCCGCCGCTCACTTCAAACACAACCAATGAGAAACAAATACAGGTTTGTGATTGCTATGCAATTCTTATCCTTGCTATCTAAAATGTAATTGGTTGAAAATCTTGTTTGTTGCCACATGGGCAAGACCCAAGGGAGTGCACCCCTCCTTGCCATGGGGAAGGTGGCTGCACCCCAAGGGGGTCTAGGGAAGGGGTCTGAAGCCTCTTGGCTCATTCCTCATTTCCTACTCCCAACAAATCAATTGGGAAATAGGATTGTCTTCTCCTCAACTCACCTTCCACAGTTTGTTACTGCATCTCCTAGCACTCTCCAGACTTAGTGATTTCCAGGAGCTGTTACTCTCTGTTTGTGTTAGAACTTATCTTTATATGGGTAAATGCCCTTTTTCTTAGTAGATCCGTTACATTGGTATTCAGAGCTATTAGTAGATCCTCGCCTTGTGGGCATATAAGAGGATTTTGTGGATTTTTTTTTTGGAGAAGTTGTGATTGTATTGTACTCTCTATTATAAAGTTTTTGAAGACTACAAGCTCAAGCTCAAGTTTTCAAGACTTTGAAGCTTCTCCAAGAGTTCTCAGCCCTCCCTCCCTCCCTGCTGGTGGAACCATTGGAGCTACTGTGAAGAAGTTGCAACCTGTGTGAATTAACATTCTCTGTTGAAGACAATCACTTTGTGATTGTTCTTGCCTTATCCACTGCGGTGGTAAGGATATTTTGCAACAGAGGTGTTTTTCACATTGTTGTGGTTGTAAGATCTATTGAAGACATTTCTCCTCTGGAGAAAATCTTGGTTATTCACTGCGGTGGTAACAATTTGCAGTAGATCTGTAACTCATTTTTATAATACAGTGACTTTGCTCTAAATGGCTTCTACCAACTCCAATGCTGGTGGTGTTGAAGGCAACAACTCCCATGCTGATTTGGAAGCTTGTGTGCAGAAGATTGACCTGAACAACTTGGATGAGGAAATGGCTGAAAAGGAACCTGCTGAAAACTCCCCTGCTAAGGACCCTTCAGCTGCTGAAAATTCCAAGGAGCAGGAAGGGGAGTCTCAGGAGGATGACATTGAGTTGGAAGGGGAAGAGGACATTTTGCATGCTGAAATTGCTAAGCTGCAGGACCATGCTGCTGAGCAGGATACGCGCATCCAGCAGCAGCAGTCACTCATCACCAACCTCAAGAGGGATCTCTCTGACCAGGACAACAAAATCAAGTACCTGGAAGTTGAGCTCAAGAACATGAAGCACGACGCCCGGGAGCACGTTCATCAGCTGGCGAGGCAGACCTCAAAGATCAACGAGCTGCGCGAGGCGTTCAGTGCCCTCCGAAGGGAGACCATGTATCGCCCTGCACCACGAGCGGAACCGCCTGCCAACTCTGCTAGCGGTCGCACCAACCCTTCTCGCTCTGGTGGTGCAGTGGGTGACCCTGGTCCTTCTACGCAGCGCGCTGCTGAGCCGAGCACGCAGGCTTTTGGCTCTCTGCCAATCACCCTGCCGCCATTCATCCATGGCAAGACGGACGTGGCTGCGTGGTTGTCGATGATGACCGACCTGTTCAAGGCGCACAAGGTCCAAGACGACGCTCGCGTCGTCGCTGCCACCACCGTGCTGGACCAGAATGCACAGCGAGTGGTGTATGGCAGCAAGATCCAGGCTGAGGCGGATAGGAAGCCGTTTGGATGGGAGGAATTCGCATCTGCACTCAAGCAAGCCTTCCAGGTCCAGCCGACCCAGCTGGAGGTGCGCAGCCGCCTTGAGAAGCTGCAGTGCGGGAACCGCACAGTGCAGCAGTACGCTGTGGAGTTCGAGGAGATCTGGGTGCTGCAGAAACCGGCAGAACGCATGAGCGAGGGTGAGAAGATCCATCTGTTCTTCAGGGGGCTGCCTGAGCACCTCAAGAACATGCATATGACGGATGGGGCTGGGGAGGCATGGAGGTCATATGATCACGTGAAGCGCGTGGTGGGGACCACTGATAAGCACTTCCGTGCTTATGCCAAAACCACTACCCAGCCGCAGCAGGCCTCAAGGCCGTCTTCTAGCACTGCGGGTCCGAGTGGAAGGCAGCAGGGAACGCCTTGGAAGGGCGGGAACCACAAGAGGCCCTTCCAGCAGGGACAGCAGGCTGACCACAAGGCCAAGAAGGTCAATGAGGGTGGACCAAGCAATGTCCAGAGCTGCTTCAAGTGCGGCAAGCCCGGACACAAGGGTTATGAGTGCCGCCACCGCAAGTCGGTGAAGTACTCTGGCAAGGCTAAGACGGACAACAAGCGCAATGACGGCAGCGGTCCCTCGGGCAGCCAGCGGGATTTTGCAAAGCCCAACTAGGGGGTGGGTACCTAGCGGGCATAGCAGATCGAGAGGATGAGGCAGTGGTCCTGCGGGATGAGGAGTTGTTGAAACTCGAGTGCCTTGTTGATTGCAAAATTGCATGTGTGTATGCATTTTCTTTTAATGAAAGTTCTTCGTTTGCCTCTCGATTTCACCCACTGGAAAGTATCGCAGTTGAATCATTACGAGATAAATTCTCAATTATCTTTTGTGATCACCACAATTTGCCTTGGATAATGGATGTGGTGGGTCGTTGCACCCAAGCGCACCCTCTAACTGCGGTTGGAATGGTAACGCGCACAGTTCGAGGTAAATTATTTCGAGCGCTTCAAGAATGGAGTGTGTTAGCGCAATGGGATAAAGGACACCACGTGTGGTGGACACAAGCTCGTTCTTTTGGACGTAGCAAGCATGGTATTAAGGCATATTATTTGCCTCCCACTGATATTACAGCATGTCCTATCCGACCCAAACATCAGCAAAACCTTTTGTTTTCGGGTTGCGTAAATGGGCGCAGTGCCTCGATCCTAGTTGATACGGGTGCAACTGCGTCATTGATCGATGAGAAGTGGATGGGATATTTGAAGGTTCCTGTTCAAGGACCATCTTGTTCTATCCGTCTGGGGGATGACAGGATCATCCCATGCAGAGGACATGCATCGATCAACCTGGATATCCAAGGATATCAGGAGACCGTCAGCGTTTTTGTTTTACCCCTCCTAGCAGGCGTAGACATTGTCTTGGGAATGGATTGGCTACGGCCTAATGAGGTGATATTAAATTTCCAAGATAACACGCTTTCATTCACAAAGAATGGGACGACGTTTCAATGGCAAGTCCCAAGACGCCAAGCACTGGACGACAAACCTCAAACGTTAGCTCTTGATGTACGCTTTGCGTCGGCTCTCCAATTCAAAGAGCATGTCAAGGGAGCTGATACACTTTTTGTTGTACAGCTAGACTCCGAACCAACCACTTCGCAGATTATTGAGGATTTTCCGCCTCAAATGAAGGCGTTGGCGGAGGAATATTCTGAGGTTTTCGAGCCAATTCCGGACGGGTTACCTCCTGACCGTGCAGTTGGCCACACCATCCCGGTGGAACCAGGAAAGGCACCACCGTTTAGACCTTTGTATCGCCTCAGTCCAGCTGAGTACGAGGAGGCTAAGCAACAAATTGAGGAATACCTCAGGAAGGGATGGATAGAACCCAGCGCGTCCCCATATGGAGCACCTATCTTGTTCGTTCACAAGAAGGGGGGTGGACTGCGCATGTGCGTCGATTATCGAGCCCTGAATAAAATTACGATCAAAAATAGATATCCACTTCCGCGGATAGAAGATCTTTTTGATCGACTACAGGGTGCGCAATGGTTCAGTGCACTGGATTTGGCGCAAGGCTATCACCAACTACGTATAACAGAGGACGATGTTCCAAAGACGGCTTTCCGTTCGCCGTTCGGCCATTTTCAGTGGCGTGTGTTAAGTTTCGGCTTGACCAACGCTCCGGCCTCTTTCCAGAGGGCGATGAACGATGTGTTTCGTGATGCGATTGGCCAGTTCGTCTTGGTGTACCTCGATGATATCTTGGTATACTCGAAAACCGAAGACGAGCATACGGAACATTTGAAATGGGTCCTCGGAAAATTACGCGAGCACAAATACTACGCGCGTTTGTGGAAATGCCATTTTTACAAACGTGAGCTAGAGTATTTGGGGCACGTGGTGGGGCATAACGGGTTGAAAGTGGACCCCAAGAAGGTAGCAGCTGTCCAGGAGTGGCCCGTCCCACGCGACGTTGGCCAAGTTCGATCATTCCTAGGCCTGGCGAATTATTTTCGTCGCTTCTTGGAAAATTATTCCACGATAGTCGCTCCCCTCACGGCATTAACCCGGAAAGGGTGCACATGGGAGTGGACCCCACAGTGCCAAAAGGCCTTCGAAGAGGTCAAGCATAAATTAACTAACGCACCAGTTTTGGTGTTGCCAGACCCACAGAAACCATACGAGGTGGTTACGGACGCCTCAACGGTGGGACTTGGTGCAGTACTCCTGCAAGAAGGACGCCCTGTGGCATTTGAGAGTAGAAAACTCTCCCCGGCAGAGCAACGCTACACGACAACCGAACAAGAGTTGTTGGCTGTCGTGCATGCGCTAAGAACATGGCGATGTTACTTGGAAGGGGTAGAGTTCGTGGTCACCACTGACCATTGTCCGAACACATACTTTTCTACCCAAGCTACCCTCACTCGCCGTCAGGCCCGTTGGGCTGAACTCCTTAGTGGGTTCAGTTTCGACATTCGTTATCGTGCAGGTTCCACGAACCTGGCTGACCCCCTCAGCAGACAGCCGATAGGGGCAGCAACTGGGCTTGACGATACCGAACATGCGGCTGTTTTTGCTGCCTGTTTTAGTATACTAGCTACGGCGAAAGTGAGCGAGATCGCGTTCAGTGGTTTTCTGAAACGAATTCGCACAGGATATCATATCGATTCCTGGTTCCAGAACCCACAAAACACTAAGCATTTGACTTGGGAACACGATCTTTGGTGGCGAACAAAAGAGATTGCGGTACCTCATGTAGGCAATCTACGGAACGATATTTTGGAAGAGGTGCACGCCACTAAATACGGGGGACATCTGGGCATGAATAAGACCCGGTGGGCCTTACGCGATGTATATTGGTGGCCTGGAGTCGGTAGTGATGTCCAACAGTTTGTGGCACGTTGTGACACGTGCGCACGTAACAAACCGGACACACAGAAGCCTGGTGGTTTGCTTCAACCACTTGAAATTCCGAGTGAACCTTGGGAAAGCGTTTCACTGGATTTCATCACCGACCTCCCAAGAACCCGTGATGGGTATACGGCGATACTCGTCTTCGTAGATCGCCTTACAAAAATGGTGCACTTTGTACCCACGACAACGGACGTATCAGCCGAGGATACGGCTCGGTTGTTCGTGACACATGTGTTCCGCCTACACGGATTGCCACGTGTGTTAGTGTCTGATCGCGACCCGCGCTTCACGAGCCGATTCTGGCGTGAAGTAACTGAGACACTAGGAACGAAGCTTAAGATGTCGTCAGCGTTCCATCCCCAAACAGATGGGCAAACGGAACGGACTAATCGCACTCTCGAGCAGATGCTTCGTTCTTTCATAAGCCCAACACAGGACAACTGGGACGAGTTGTTACCCATGGTCGAGTTTGCGGTTAACAACTCAGTGCATGATAGCACACATGAAAAACCATTTATCCTGAACTGTGGTCGGCATCCCACAACACCTGCTACGCATGGGATCGGCGGGTTGAAATTACCTGCCGCAAAGGATTTTGTGGGCAAGCAGCGAGAGGCCCTAAAGTCGGCACGTCGTTGGTTGCAATTGGCCCAACAAAGGCAAAAATCCTATGCCGATATGAAACGCCGGGAAGTCTCATTCTCCGTTGGAGACAAAGTTTTGTTAAGCACGAAGAATATTCGGCTTAAGATCCCTGGTGCGAGAAAGTTGTTCCCTCGCTGGATTGGGCCCTTCGAGGTGATTCAACGAGTTGGTGCGGTAGCTTACAAGCTCAAGCTACCTGATACCCTGCAGATTCACAATGTCTTCCATGTGTCTCTGTTAAGCAAGTATGTTGCAGAAGGCAAGTACTTACCACCACCAACAATCGTCCTAGGGGAGGAACTATATTATGAAGTCGAGCGAGTGCTATTGCATCGTAATCGACAAAGCGGCCGCAAAACTGTACGAGAGTTCCTCATTAAGTGGAAAGGCTATGGGCCTGAACACAACTCATGGGAGCCGGAAGAACATTTGACTGATACTGCGGTTCAGTCTTACATGGAAGACCTGGCTCAGCGAGCACTCCCACAACCAGCGGATGGTGTTGACCCTGGTCGTAATGTGGTTCGTCGTGCTCGTAGCACTCGTCCTAAGAAGCACCCCACGGCAACGAGGACGTTGCCAGCTGGAGGGGGAGGAGTGTAACATCCGTACCCAACCCCAGCTGGTCTCGATACGTCGAACCAGCTGAGGGAGAAATGTGGGGAAATCTGGTTGGTTGGGAAAGCGAGACTTACGGGCAATTCAGGATTGATTGGGAAACCAACCAATCGAAATTGTTGCTGAGTCAAACTTACGCAATTGGTTTGAGCTTGTTCAAACATAACCCACGTAAGTTCACCTCATCACTAATTCAACCAATCAGATCACAGCCCCAAGAGTGAGTCGACAATGTTTCCGCCGCTCACTTCAAACACAACCAATGAGAAACAAATACAGGTTTGTGATTGCTATGCAATTCTTATCCTTGCTATCTAAAATGTAATTGGTTGAAAATCTTGTTTGTTGCCACATGGGCAAGACCCAAGGGAGTGCACCCCTCCTTGCCATGGGGAAGGTGGCTGCACCCCAAGGGGGTCTAGGGAAGGGGTCTGAAGCCTCTTGGCTCATTCCTCATTTCCTACTCCCAACAAATCAATTGGGAAATAGGATTGTCTTCTCCTCAACTCACCTTCCACAGTTTGTTACTGCATCTCCTAGCACTCTCCAGACTTAGTGATTTCCAGGAGCTGTTACTCTCTGTTTGTGTTAGAACTTATCTTTATATGGGTAAATGCCCTTTTTCTTAGTAGATCCGTTACAGCCACCGTGAGACTTACTCGTCGCCGCTGAAGGGTAACCTAGCCCGCACTCAATGCCGGTTCGCAATCACTCAAGGCACGCCCTCACTCCCGTCGTCGTCACTCCCGTCGTTCTCTCAGGGGATGGGAGGGGGATGGGAGGGGGGTGGGAGGGAAGTGGGAGGGGGATGGGAGGGGGATGGGAGGGGGATGGGAGGGGGATGGGAGGGGGATGGAAGGGGGGTGGCAGGGGGATGGGAGGGGAATGGGAGGGCGATGGGAGGGGGACGGGAGGGGGATGGGAGGGGGATGGCCAGGGGATGGGAGGGGGATGGGAGGGGGATGGGAGGGGGATGGGAGGGGGAAGGGAGGGGGATGGGAGGGGGATGGCCAGGGGATGGGAGGGGGATGGGAGGGGGATGGGAGGGGGATTGGAGGGGGATGGAAGAGGGGTGGGAGTGGGATGGGAGGGGAATGGGAGGGCGATGGGAGGGGGACGGGAGGGGGATGGGAGGGGGACGGGAGGGGGATTGGAGGGCGATGGGAGGGGGATGGGAGGGGGAAGGGAGTGGGATGGGAGGGGGATGGGAGGGGGATGGCCAGGGGATGGGAGGGGGATGGGAGGGGGATGGGAGGGGGATGGGAGGGGGATGGGAGGGGGATGGGAGGGGGGTGGGAGGGGGATGGGGGGGGATGGGAGGGGGATGGGAGGGGGATGGGAGGGGGATGGGAGGGGGATGGGAGGGGGATGGGAGGGGGATGGGAGGGGGAAGAGAGGGGGATGGGAGGGGGATGGCCAGGGGATGGGAGGGGGATGGGAGGGGGATGGGAGGGGGATGGGAGGGGGATGGGAGGGGGATGGGGATGGGAGGGGGATGGGAGGGGGATGGGGGGGGGATGGGAGGGCGATGGGAGGGGGACGGGAGGGGGATGGGAGGGGGATGGGAGGGGGATGGGGGTGGGATGGGAGGGGGATGGGAGGGGGATGGGAGGGGGATGGGAGGGGGATGGGAGGGGGATGGGAGGGGGATTGGAGGGGGAAGGGAGGGGGATGGGAGGGGGATGGCCAGGGGATGGGAGGGGGATGGGAGGGGGCTGCTGCAGCTGAAGTGGTGGCTGGGATACAGCCTCAACAAGAGCACTCCAGGTCTGCATGGGCTAAGGAAATGGCACGATAGTTGACATATGACAGGGGGGCGACAACGGGGAGGAAGTGAACAAGGGTGTGTGCAATGAGCTGTTTGCAAAGAAGTGGTGATATGGGGGGTTGGTGACTTACCGACTTACCCCCCCACACACTCACCTCATCCACAATCACTGAGGGGAGGTCGGCCTCCCCTCAGCCCCTTAGTTAATCCAGCCCAGTGGGGGGAGTTCAATCCCCCCACACACTCACCTCATCCACAATCACTGAGGGGAGGTCGGCCTCCCCTCAGCCCCTTAGAGAATCCAGCCCAGTGGGGGGCGTTCAACCCCCCCACACACTCACCTCATCCACAATCACTGAGGGGAGGTCGGCCTCCCCTCAGCCCCTTAGAGAATCCAGCCCAGTGGGGGGAGCTCAATCCCCCAAACACTCACCTCATCCACAATCACTGAGGGGAGGTCGGCCTCCCCTCAGCCCCTTAGAGAATCCAGCCCAGTGGGGGGAGTTCAACCCCCCCACACACTCACCTTGGAAACAATCACTGAGGGGAGGTCGGCCTCCCCTCAGCCCCTAAGAGAATCCAGCCCAGTGGGGAGAGTTCAACCCCCCCACACACTCACCTCATCCTCAATCACTGAGGGGAGGTCGGCCTCCCCTCAGCCCCTTAGAGAATCCAGCCTAGTGGGGGGAGTTCAATCCCCCCACACACTCACCTCATCCACAATCACTGAGGGGAGGTCGGCCTCCCCTCAGCCCCTTAGAGAATCCAGCCCAGTGGGGGCGTTCAACCCCCCCACACACTCACCTCATCCACAATCACTGAGGGGAGGTCGGCCTCCCCTCAGCCCCTTAGAGAATCCAGCCCAGTGGGGGGAGTTCAACCCCCCCACACACTCACCTCATCCACAATCACTGAGGGGAGGTCGGCCTCCCCTCAGCCCCTTAGAGAATCCCGCCCAGTGGGGGGAGTTCAACCCCCCCACACACTCACCTCATCCACAATCGCTGAGGGGAGGTCGGCCCTCCCTCAGCCCCTTAGAGAATCCCGCCCAGTGGGGGGAGTTCAACCCCCCCACACTCACCTCATCCACAATCACTGAGGGGAGGTCGGCCTCCCCTCAGCCCCTAAGAGAATCCTGCCCAGTGGGGGGAGTTCAACCCCCCCACACACTCACCTCATACAGAATCACAGAGAGGGGGTAGCCTCACCCAAGCCTCTTATCCCATCCAGCCTAGTGGGGGACCCCCCCAAACACTCACCTTGGAAACAATCACTGAGGGGAGGTCGGCCTCCCCTTAGCCTCCTCTCAAGTCCAGCCCAGTGGGGGAAGTTAAAACCCTCCACACACTCACCTCATACACAATCACTGAGGGGAGGTCGGCCTCCCCTCAGTCTAATACCCCCTAACTTATCGTTGCTCGGCTCCTCTCTGCTCATTCCCCGTCCCGTACATTGCTTCTCACCAGGTGGTTTAGAGTACGGGCGGCACTGAGCAGATTGTCGTTCCCGTCTAGTTAGAAGACGCGCCTTGCTGTCCGCGCCTTGTTTTTCGCCGCCTTGCTGTCCGCGCCTTGCTGTCCGCGCCTTGCTGATGGCGCCTGCCCGTCAACGCCTTCCCGTCCGCGTCTTCCCTGTGCGCGCCTTCCGTCCGCGCCGTTGTGGCTCTCGCCTTCCGCCCTATCCCTATGTAGTTGCGCCTTCTATGGGCCGTCTCACACAGGCCGCGTATTCCTGTCCGAGTCTCTCCCTTCCGCAACTTTCGAGTGTGTTCGCTTTTTCTCGTGCAACGGTGTCCCGACCAGCGCAATCGTCACCGTGGTCGAGCTACAGTTGCTAACGGGCAGGCTTTCCTTCTGACGTTCGGGGCCACATATCCATTCGCCACTCAAATGGTGTGGTTTCTATAGATAATTACGTGCAGTGTCGATTCTCTTCGGAGAACAAGGACGCGACGTGACTGTTTTGTGACCACAACAACCGTTGAGTGTCGCCGCTATTCCCGTGTTGGTGGCCTGAAACGTTCTGTGCTGGAATGGACGTTCGCCACCTGAAAACGCCAAACGTGGGCAATAGCGTTACCCCGCTTATGTTGCCTAAACCTGATGACGGACGTGACGTTACGTGATCGCCCTTAGAATTCGTCTAGTAGGTACAAACCGAATGCATGTGGTAGGCCATGCACGTCGAGTGCATTGCTGGTTGTTGAGCTGCGTATCAGTAGGCTCCTGCCATGTCCGCGATCATAGAAAGCTGGTGGTGTGACTTGCGTGGATGGTGGTTTGGTTTTGTTTGTCGCTTGTGTTTGTTCCTGGGCCAACATCATAGACATGCAAATTAGTGTGGTAACCCTATCCAATGGTATGCAAAACCGTCTTACCTCTGTTTGCAAGTTATTGACATGCTGCCCTGAAAGCACGTTCGTTTTTAATTCAAATTTGATCTTTACCGCGCTTGCCTTCGCGCTAAGACGTGATTTCTTCGGGCCAAGAAAAAAATAAAACCCGATCGGAAAGGGATGCGTCAGGGAGGCATCAACCCTAAAAACAATGTCCTTTCCCGTGTTTAGGGTTGATCCCTCCCAGAAATGCGTCCAGGTCCCTAGGGGTTTTATTGTTTTTCTGCCCTGCCCCTACATTTCCCGGTAGCAATATATTGGTCCAAATTAATGTTATCGAAATGGACCCCGTAGCCTTTCATTCCAGTGGATTTTTCGTCACATTTAGCGGAAAATAGTAGCCGGCAGGAATATTTGTTAGGCGCCGAACAAGACGCGGTAAGAACCACGACGATACGAAATCGAAAACGCAACTGATTCAATCCCATATTTTCTTCCTTTTCTGTGCTGCGTCAGCTGTTACACAGTGTTTTGAGTGGCGCTACCAGACAATTTTGCGCAGCAGAACTGGGGTATCGACGGTTTTGCATACCATCGAATAGGGTTACCAGACTAATTTGCATGTCTATGATGTTGGCCCAAGTTTCCTGAACTAGGAACCCGTACAATGCGAAAAACTTCGAAGCACCCCACCTTCGCCACCTCTTTCCGGCGAATTGCGCTCTCGTCATCCTTCGCCCAACCCCCTTTCAAGTTCAGTAATCCTGAACCCTTGCCATTCTAGGCGCGGGCTTTAACGTCGGAAGGGTTGCGTAGATGTTACATTCTTAGTTGACATAAATATATTTTATATAGTGAACAATGATGTTTCTCTTTCCTCAAAGATAATACTTTGTATTGTAACATTGCACTATTTTGTGTGGTTCATTGCGAGTTGTTTTCAGCCCACTCAGTGTCACGTGATTGTGCGTGTGTTTTCACGTGACAAACCTACCCACCTCTTGCCTCTTTCTCCCAACCACCCACCTCGTCATAGCCTCTACCTCCACCCCGCCATCCTTTCTTTCCCACCGTGCCGTCCTCTCTCCCTCCACCCGCCGTCGCCTCTCCTTCCTACCCGCCGTCGCCTCTCCCTCCTCCCCGCCGTCGCCTCTCCCTCCTCCCCGCCGTCGCCTCTCCCTCCTCCCCGCCGTCGCCTCTCCCTCCTCCCCGCCGTCGCCTCTCCCTCCTCCCCGCCGTCGCGTATCCCTCCTCCCCGCCGTCGCCTCTCCCTCTCGCCGTCGCCTCTCCCTCCTCCCCGCCGTCGCCTCTCCCTCCTCCCCGCCGTCGCGTTTCCCTCCTCCCCGCCGTCGCCTCTCCTTCCTACCCGCCGTCGCCTCTCCCTCCTCCCCGCCGTCGCCTCTCCCTCCTCCGCTCCGTCGCCTCTCCCTCCTCCCCGCCGTCGCCTCTCCCTCCTCCCCGCCGTCGCGTATCCCTCCTCCCCGCCGTCGCGTATCCCTCCTCCCCGCCGTCGCGTATCCCTCCTCCCCGCCGTCGCCTCTCCCTCTCGCCGTCGCCTCTCCCTCCTCCCCGCCGTCGCCTCTCCCTCCTCCCCGCCGTCGCCTCTCCCTCCTCCTCGCCATCGCCTCTCCTTCCCTCCCCGCCGTCGCCTCTCCTTCCCTCCCCGCCGTCGTCTCTCCTTCCCTCCCCGCCGTCGCCTCCGGCGACAGGTGCACGAGCGCAAGCGAGACTTGGTGTTCGAGTGCGGGTTGGTGCGCGAGCGCGGGCTGGTGCGTGAGCGCGGGTTGGTGCGCCAGCGCGGGTTGTTTTCTGAGGCACCGTTGCTATGAGGTGCGTTCCCGGTCCTTTCATCCACCCTTCCGCCTCTGATATTTCCTCACTTAATTTTTGCTTCTTTGTAAAATTTGTGTGTCATTGGTCTCCTCTTGCATTGCACTTTCATTTGAAGAAGGGGAGAGACGGAGAGCGAGGGAGAGCGTGTGCAAGGGAGCGAACGCGCAGGAGAGTGCGCGTGAGAGAGCGCGTTCACTCTCACGCACGTGCACTCTCACATGAGAGTGCATGTGGGAGACGCATGGGAGACTTGTGAGAGTGCGCGTTAGAGAGCACGTGAGGGTGCGTGTGAGAGTGCGTGTGAGAGAGCGTGAGAGAGAGCGTGTGAGAATGCGCGTGAGAGTGCGCGTGAGAGAGCGCGTGAGAGTGCGTGTGAAAGAGAACATGAGAGAGAGCGTGAGGGTGCACGTGAGAGTGCACGTGAGAGTGCACGTGAGAGTGCACGTGAGAGTGCGCGTAAGAGAGCGCTTGAGAGTGCGCTTGAGAGTGCGCGTGAGAGTGCACGTGACAGAGTGCGTGAGAGAGCTCGTGAGAGAGCGTGTGCGCAAGCGCGTGAGAGAGCGCGTGCGCAAGCGCGTGAGAGAGCGCGTGGGCAAGTGCGTGAGAGAGCGCACGAGAGTGCGCATGAGAGTGCATGTGGGAGACGCATGGGAGACTTGTGAGAGTGCGCGTTAGAGAGCACATGAGGGCAAGGTTCAAAATTACGGTCGTATTTTTGAAAATTTACCGTAAAATACGGAATCGTATATTACGGTCGTATTTTACGGTAAAATACGATAAATCGTGCTGTTTTAAGGTTGGTTCAAAAATACGGTCGTAATTTACGGTCGAAATTTTGAAACAGTGAAGTGTAAACAGAAATTGCAGGGGGGGCCCCTTGAGCGAAGCCTCTCTTTTAAAGTGGGAAAAGGGGGGATTAATTAGGACCGTATTAGTAGGAAATCGCGATCTTCCAGTCGCTATTGCGATGGGGAAATGTGTCCCTACAGTATAGGTACGAGTGAGATCTAGATCTCACCCAGTCTCAGGGTACAAATGTTTGAAAGGTTGGGTTGGGTTAGGTAGAGGGAGTGGGATTTAGAGCGGTTGGGAGGAGTGCATGAGCTGGAAAATTTGGGATGCAAATGTTCCGTGTTTGAGCTTGCTGACATTTCGTCATCTAGAAATGTGAAGTGACGAGTTAGCCTATGCGATTATGAACCCCCGCTGCCACGTCGCGCAGGGGTCAAGAATGCAACGAGTTAAAATACTCGCAAGTATTTTTTCCCTTGCCAAACGTTTTCAATCGCTTTTCAAATATTATTCTAGCCGCACAAGGCGGGACGCACCCCTATTGTTTTGATGAGCATAGGGGAGCGGTTTTTTAGGCATAAATCCATTGTAGACCATTTTAGGCCCGATAGTTAGCAATTTCACTACAACTCACATCCCTACAGGTGGTTAGTAGCAAGTTCGATTTTTTTTTTTTAGCAGAAAAAAAATCTCTAACAAAAATACGGTCGAAATTTTGAAATCTGACCGTAAAATACGATCGTAAAATACGGACCGTGTTTTACGGAAACCGTAATTTTCATCCTTGCATGAGGGTGCGTGTGAGAGAGCGTGAGAGAGCGTGTGAGTGAGTGTGTGAGAATGCGCTGGAGAGTGCGTGTGAGAGAGAACGTGAGAGAGCACGTGAGGGTGCACGTGAGAGTGCACATGAGAGAGCGCAAAAGAGTGCGTGTGAGATTGCGCGTGAGAGTGCACATGAGAGAGTGCGTGAGAGAGCACATGAGAAAGCGCCAGGATGAGAGGGTGTGCGCGCGAGGATGAGAGTGCGTGCCACTGTGTGTGCCAGAGTGAGTGCGAGAGCAAGTGCGAGTGTTAGTGCAAGGGTGCGTGCGAGTGTGTTTGCATGTGCGTGTAAGTTTTTGTGTGAGTGTTATTGTGAATGAGAACGCTCATAAGTACGAGGGTTTGTGCAAGAATGAGAGTGTAGATTTAAATGTTTGTTTCTGTGAGTGTCTAATGAAGTTGAGAGTATTTGTGCGTATGTGATTGAGTGCAAACGTGAGGATGAAGCTGAACGCGAGGGTGGCTGCAAGGTATTGCATCATTCCGGTGTGTAGTATCTGTGGTGCCACGACTTATTCCAAATTAGCACTGTGAGTTGTGAAAGTCTAATTGCTGTCTTTGATTGATCTATGCGTTCTTCAACACCATTTTCTATTGTTCTTATTTCGTTTCTAGTGCATGCGTGAGCTGCGTTCTCTGTTTTTGTTTTCGTGTGCAATGCTGTGAAGTGTACTCTTTGTTTTTGCTTTCTACGGGTGAGTTGCATTTCCTGCTTGGCCTCTTCGTAAGATCAACTATATGTTTTAGTGCTTTTTTGTACACAGTGTGTGAACATTCTCTGTTTTTGCCCTTTTCTTGTGCAGGGCATGTACTTTGCATTCTCTGTTTTTGCTTTGTGCAGGGCGTGTGAGCTGCATTCTTGAATTTTGTTTGGCGGAGAAGGGAGATAAGGGAGGGCGTGGGAGGGAGATGAGGGAAGGAGGGAAGGAGGGGTGTAGGGAGGGTAAAGAGGGGATAGGCTAGCGATGATTTATGAATGGTAACTGAACTCCATTGGTGATGGTTGGTGTTTATCACCGGTGGCTGTATGTATCTGTGCTTGTTGCATGTGTGTGTGTCAGTGTGTGGTGTGTCTGACTCTTTGTCATGCTTGTTTGCTCTCTCCTCATTGTATGTACGCGTGTGTATATATATGTGTGTCAGTGCATGTGTGTGTGTGTGTGTGTATCGTCCGTGCGTGGGTATGTGTGCTTGTGTGTATGTCAGTTGGTTGGTTGTGATTATTTCAAGGTGTGGTGCTGGTATGCATCGTGTTAGCAGTTGAGGTTGTTGGTGTTTATCACCGGTGGCTGTATGTATCTGTGCTTGTTGCATGTGTGTGTGTCAGTGTGTGGTGTGTCTGACTCTTTGTCATGCTTGTTTGCTCTCTCCTCATTGTTTGTACGCGTGTGTATATATATTTGTGTCAGTGCATGTGTGTGTGTGTGTATCGTCCGTGCGTGGGTATGTGTGCTTGTGTGTATGTCAGTTGGTTGGTTGTGATTATTTCAAGGTGTGGTGCTGGTATGCATCGTGTTAGCAGTTGAGGTTGTTGGTGTTTATCACCGGTGGCTGTATGTATCTGTGCTTGTTGCATGTGTGTGTGTCAGTGTGTGGTGTGTCTGACTCTTTGTCATGCTTGTTTGCTCTCTCCTCATTGTATGTACGCGTGTGTATATATATGTGTGTCAGTGCATGTGTGTGTGTGTGTGTATCGTCCGTGCGTGGGTATGTGTGCTTGTGTGTATGTCAGTTGGTTGGTTGTGATTATTGCAAGGTGTGGTGCTGGTATGCATCGTGTTAGCAGTTGAGGTTGTTGGTGTTTATCACCAGTGGCTGTATGTATCTGTGCTTGTTGCATGTGTGTGTGTCAGTGTGTGGTGTGTCTGACTCTTTGTCATGCTTGTTTGCTCTCTCCTCATTGTATGTACGCGTGTGTATATATATGTGTGTCAGTGCATGTGTGTGTGTGTGTGTGTATCGTCCGTGCGTGGGTATGTGTGCTTGTGTGTATGTCAGTTGGTTGGTTGTGATTATTTCAAGGTGTGGTGCTGGTATGCATCGTGTTAGCAGTTGAGGTTGTTGGTGTTTATCACCGGTGGCTGTATGTATCTGTGCTTGTTGCATGTGTATTGTGACACGACTCTCGGAGGAGTGTGCAGTGCAATCGTCATAGCATTTCACAACTCAAGGATACAGCACACTCGGTAACAATGAATACATGTGGTAAACACAGTATCGATGCACGAGCTATCAGCTAGAAAGGGGAGTGGAGGGTGGGAGCAAGAGAGAGTGAAAGTAGCGAATGAGACTAGGTGGCAGGTCCTTGGACCTGCCGAAATGTAAAGGAGCATGTCTCCTTTACAGCAAACCCCTCTTCAAGTCGTATCACAATCTGTAAATTTTTGTGTTACAAAAATTATTCATATTGTGACACGACTCTCGGAGGAGTGTGCAATGCAGTCGTCATACGGTAGGTCGAACGAGACATCAGGGAAGTGGTCGGCGACGTCTCCTCTCAAGCGTGGTCAAATATCGATCGGTCGGGCTCGATCGAAGGGGGTCCTGAAGTGCGCGAGAAGCATCAACAAGCTCGCGATCGAGCTGTGAGACGTATAATTCCTTGGCCGTATCGCTGCGCCATCAACCAAGCGCTTTGAAGAGTCGATCCGGTACTGTCAAAATGAAGAGTGGATGATGTATTGATGTTGGTTGGAGTACATATAGCTAACCCTAAGTTTTGTACCCCCTAAGACAAACCTCACTATAGGCTACAACATTTGACACACCCCCATAGCCTAAGTGAGGAGTGTCTAGCAGAACCAAACGAGTACGGTCATGTCAAATGTTGTAGCCTATAGTGAGGTTTGTCTTAGGGGGTACAAAACTTAGGGTTAGCTATATGTACCCCAACCAACATCAATGCATCATCCATTCTTCATTTTGACATGGTATCAGTTAGGTTAGGATCCTGTGGGATCCCGTTCCTCCGTTCTCCGTTCGAGCCTCCCGAGCCTGATCCTAGCTCTCATTCGTCCCGGTTCCGTTGTTACCGCGCGTAGTGCCGAGCCTAGCGCCAATCCTAGCGCCCGTCCGCGCCACCCGTTCCCCTCGTTCCGTAGCGCCCGCCCTTACCCCCCGTCGCGTCGCGTTCCCCCCCCACGTCGTGTCGCGCCCGTTCCCCCCGTCGCGTCGCCGCCCATTCCCCCCGTCGCGTCGCGCCTTTTCCCCCCGTCGCGTCCTCCCCGCCCTTTCCCCCCTCGTCGCGTCCCTTTCCCCCCGTCGCGTCCCGCCCGTCCTTTCCCTCCGTCACGGCCCGCCCCTTCCCCTCCTGTAGCGGCCCGCCCTTTC